AAATAAACAGTCTCAAGTAGTTATGGCAATCACATGAAACAAAACCCGGGGTCATTATGCAACGAAATAGCAAGAGGGAGAGGTACATATTTATTGAGGGCAAAAAAGCATTTCAGTTTTGACAATCACACAGCAACAATCCTTTTCCGGACTGCCCTCAATCAAGATTCACATTTCAAACGTCCGAAAATTTCCGTTCTATGTTGGCCGTCAGTTGATAATCCTTCGTCTTTGTCCTTTGGGACCTCCTTCTGACTGTACTGTTACGATTACCCCTGTTCGCGGTTTGAACTGCATCTTGCTATTCACCTCGAGTGTTTGTTTGTCGATTCGATTCACATTGTCTTCCAAAGTCCGCATCTGACGTATTCGTAACAACACCCAGTGGATTGCCACCGTCTATCCGTCCCGGTAGCCGGCTCCTCTCCCGTGTAACTCGTAGTATCTAATTGCGATTTCACTGGGTGTCTAAATGGCAGATATTTGCACCGTGTAAAGCACCTCTAACACTTCATCATCCTCAATTGTTTCTTTCGCTATATGCTTAGCATCTTTCAAGTGTGAAGTCATTCTACGATACTGAATGTCGGCTATCTTGTTTTCAACCACCATGATCATGAGTTGAATTGCTTCCCTTACCTAGGCAGTAATGATACCCTAATGAAATACATGACGACGCGCATTTCCGAGACTTTAATGGTGTATGGTGGACTGAAGCATCTTTGATGTAGACGTATACTGTTCCAGTGTGCGACCAGTCCTGGTTTTTCGGCACATGAGACAATGAAATCGCGTGTGGGAGAGATTCAGGAAAACGAGGTTTTCGGTTGTTAAAGTTTGGGTTGTCAGATGCTGATGTAACGGTGCTATCGAGTTAGCAGAACCAGGGTGATGAACCGTATCTCGTTGGAACATCGATTATCACCGGACTATAGGATGAATAGATTTAGCTGATCGTTTAATCCACACGGTCGTCTACTGACTCTCAGTCTGATTATACTTGCTGCTCGCGGAGCTCCGGAACCACATAGGAATCAACATTTTATGCAAGGTAAGAGTAGACAAACTAAACTGGATGATTACAGGTAGCAGGTGCCTCTGATCGTCCGGAACTAGACCCACACGACAATACAAACATTCGGTTTTGGATAATGTGGGATATGGAAACGAAGTGATAATAGTGATGTTCTGGTTGTTATGTTTTATCAAATCAGAGTTTGTGCATACGTTTAGGACGCTTGGTTACCATAGTGGTTCATTTCTTTTCTTCTGACGAGCAAAAGTCGACAATTTCACTACACGAAAGTTCTATCGAGCATGCGATGATGAGGGTGAGTAATTATAAGCGAAACGGTTTTTGGGTGTCAGAATTAGGAGTTGACGCAACCTGTTGGAGTGATTTAACGCATGCGCGCATGTAATATAGATACCGAAGAAAAAGAATGTTGCAATAAAAACGGTGGCGAAAAAGTTCGTTTGCTATGAATAATGTACAAGCTAGTACATCACACTTTATATAAAATAAATGTACTTGGGGGGGGGGGGGTGAAATTCTGACAAAATAGGAAAGACAGTAATCAACATCCCAGTTCCGTGACCAGATGTTGATCACACTTTGGTCATCCCAAATCCTCATGGGCTCGGGTCCTTAGGGGCGGTTGGGGAAACTGTGTGGTGTTGGTTATAGAAATATAAGTAAATAAAATGAATGTCTTTTTATTTCCTTTTTTATTTATTGAAGATACAAATCTACAATCAACGGCCATACAAAGACTGCCTGGGACGACGGGCGGCGGTGGAGTGGTTCGAACCTGGGACTCATAGGTCACAAGTTGGTGACATAATCACTTGGCCACCCCCGCCCAGTTCTTACAAATTGTTTTTTTATGAGCATGGGGCGAGGTTTATGTAGGCAGATTCCTATCGCTTCCGCTGTGGCCAAAGTACGG